TGTGGTCTCTGTTTCTCTTTCTGCCTCAGGGAGTCCGATTATTCTTAGGTTAGGCCTCTTGAGGTAGTCACTCATCTCTTGAAGGTTTTGTTCTGTCCTTTTTAGCTTATTTTCTGTGTTTTTAAGGGTTTGGGTTATTTCTATATTTTGGTCCTCAAGCTCTGAGATTCTTTCTTCTCCTTGGGTAATTCTGCTTTCCATGCTTATCAATTTGTTATTTATTTTATTCACAGTATTCTTTATTACTGTTATCTCAGATATCAGCTCCTTCCTAGTTTCTTCTTGTGTCTCCTCAATTCTTTTTAATCTCTCCATTATTGTTTTGATATCTACATTTGCATTTTGAGACCCTTCATTCTGGGGACGTTTCATTGTTTGTATTCCAAAGTCAATTTTCTCAGTGTCTGCTCTCCCAGGCGTCTGGGAGAGACCCATACTCTTATTTGGTTTTTCTTCATTTCTGTAGATTTTTCTCCTTTTACCCCTTTCCCTCTCCCTCTTCAATTCTGTTTTTGAGGGAAGGTGGGGTTGCTTTTATTTCCTTTCTGTAATGACCTGTTCTTCCTTATGAGGGTCTTCTGGTTTTGTTCACTTTTCCCTCTGCTTTACAGTCTGTCTATTCAGCAGTTTGCAGTCTTGGTCCCTAGATTTAAAATGGGGGCATAAAAGAGGAAAATAATGGAGGAAGGGGGGTCAATAGGGAGTTAGAAAGAGAGAAGCGTGAAAGGGAAAACAGATATACATACCATCTATCAGGTGAGAACGAGACACAGGGCTGGGAAGAGGTGAAGAAAGACACATAAGAAAGAGTACTGATAGCTACATAGTACTAAAGAGTACTGAAGCAACACAGAGACAGGGCAATAAAATCGAGAAACAGTGTAAGTCAGAAGGTAAACAACAAACGGGATCTAAACCAACAGTTACAATGATAAAATCATAAGTCAAAATGAGCGAAAGAGAGAAGTGCGAGAGGGATAACAGATATACATACCAGCTATCAGGTGAAAAACAGTCACAGGATCGGGAAGAAGTGAAGAAAGACACGTAAGAAAGATTGCCTAAGGAGTACTGATAGCTACACAGACACAGGTCAATAAAATCGAGAGACAGTGTAGGTCAGAAGGTCAACAACAGACGTGATCTAAACTAACAGTTACAATGATAAAATCATAAGTCAAAATAAGCGAAAGGGAGAAGTGCAAGAGGGAAAACAGATATACATACCAACTATCAGGTGAGAGAGAGACACAGGGCTGGGAAGAAGTGAAAAAAGACAGGTAAGAAAGATTCCCTAAAGAATACTGATAGCTAAACAGAGACAGGCCAAAAAAATCAAGAAACAGTATAAGTCAGAAGTTAAACACCAAACGTATCTAGACCAACTGTTTCAATGATAAAATCATAGGTCAAAATAAGCGATCAGACTAGAGTCACTTCTGTGATCTCCAATTCCAGCCTC